GCTGCCCGGGTAGAAGAGCAGGAGGGCAGAACGCAGCTCTCCCAGCGCCCGGCCCAGCTCTGCCTGGAAAACCAGTTTGAACCAGAGCCGGGACTGGGCTCCCCACTGCACTGCAAGGAGAAGAGCCAGGGGGTGAATCGCCGCTCGAGGCCACGGTGCTCCTGGGGACGATGGGTGACAAAGGGGCTTTGGGAACCAGCACCCGTCCCACGCGGTGACCAGAGCACCTGGGACGGGAGCGGACAGGGTGGGGGGACACAGCAAATCCCCTTTTCTGGTTTCAGGGAGCGCTCAGGGGACAATCCCTGACCCCGGCGAGTGGCTCTGGCAAATGTTCACGGGCAGATCCCCTTGGAAATCTCTTCTCTGGTGGCCTGGGGACACTGTGGCCATTGTGTCACAGCCAGCAGCGCTCCCTGGGGAAAAGCCGCTTCCCCAGCTGCCCCGCACTGGGGAGTTCAGCTGAAAATCCAAAATCCGGGAGAGGAGGAAGAGATTTCAAGAAGAGAGGAAGAACCCTGACCCTCTTGCTACACAGGATGAAAACCTCGGGCTCAGCCAGGGTGTCCTCCCTCAAGCACAGCACTGAGCAGTGAGGTGGGACAGTGGGATGGACACTGCTGGTTTTTGCACAAGGCTGAAGATACACCAGCAAACCCAGCAGCACCCTGGGCACCTGCTCACACCACAGCAGGATCAGCCAGGTCCACTCTCCTCTCTTTTCCCAGTCAGAGCTGGGATGGGGTCCCAACCCGCGTCATTAAGGCAGAAATTGAGAAACATTTATTATCTCCAAAGCAGAGCAGAAGTCACCAAAACTGCAGCATTTGGGTGTCACAGGCAGGGACAAGGCTCCCTGTTGCACACAAGCCATCATCACTACTAAAGCTTCTTAAACATCTACCCGCAAAGGCACTGCCTTGGTAATTGTAATAGAAACCCAACTCCACAAATTTAATTCTGTGCTTAAATCTCTGGTTTAGGGCAAGGAAACAGCACCGGCCTCCCCCAGCCCCGTGCTCAGCCCCGCTCAGCCTCATAGAATCCCAGACTGGTTTGGGTTGGAAGAGACCTTAAAGCTCATCCAGTCCCAACCCCCCTGCCATCAGCAGGGACACCTTCCACTAGACCAGGTTGCTCAAAGCCTCATGCAACCTGGCCGAGAACACTTCCAGGCTCTATACTGTGATACTCTTTCATCACTCCCTTCATGATCTTGATTGTTTCCTGGTTGGTTCAGACAAGGCTGCCATAGATTACCACATCCCCATCAGCAGTCGCTGAGCTCTGTACAACCCTGATCATATTCTGCAAGGCTGAGCAGGCTGGGACTGTGTTCATCAGTGGCCTTAATGTTCATAAAGAAATAGTCTTTAATGGCATTAACATAGACCAGCACAGGGATTTCACACCAACCTTCCTCCAGATGCAGCACGAGGAATCGGTCCTGCCCCGGCTCCAGCACGTGAGCGTGGATGTGCTTCAGGGGATGGAGAGCAGCACCCACCTCCCCGGCCGGGCAGAGCCCGAAGGTCTCCAGATAGTTTTCATCCCAGTTGGTGCGTTGTCTCAACAGCTTGATGAAGTTGCTTTCATAGTGGGTGAGAACACCCACAACATCCAGGTGCTTTGGGGTCAGCCCGTCCTGCTCCATCTTCACCCTACACACTGGTCCTTCCAGCCCCCCGAGCGGCCACGGGTGCCGGGACCAGCCGATGTCCCCACCCTCAGCCATCCCCTGCAGGCACTTTGCTCCTGGGTCAGGCTTGGAGAAGAGGTGAGTCCCACGAGTCATCCTTGATCTTACCACCGAGCTGGGTCTCGCTCTTTCCTGTAAACTGGTGTTTTCTCCCTTCCTCTCCTCTGCCTCAAGTCCCAGCTCCTCCGACACGCTCAGCTCCAGCCGGTTAATTGGGGAACTCCTTTCCCCAGTGCTCCCCTTTCTGGGAAGGGCTGCAGAGGGGAGCACCAGCACCAGGCACCCCAAAAACACCCCAAGAACAACCTTCATGTTCCCACTTCAGCTACTCCCAACGCAGGGGTTGGAGCCGCTCACGCGCATCTCAAAACAACTCCGGTAGAAGCTGGAGGTCGGTGTCTCCCTTTTAAAAACCGGTGGCCTTGAGTTGACAACACACAACACACCTCCCTTGAGAAACTCGAAGGCTGTCACGCTGGAGAGGAGGGAGGGATGTTTCAAAGAAGCTTTTTGTTCTATTTTTGGGTTTGCATCTCATATTGGAAACGTGAAAAAAAATTAAAGCTGTTTCTCTTCCTCGTAGGGACGCACGACCTTGACTTCGGATGTTTTCTCAAGGAGGATGGACGTCTGGACTTGGATCTTCACGGGGACTGACACAGACTCTTCTCATCAGGAGGGAAGAATCTGCCAGACTAGGAGGAGGGGGATAGAGACAGATAATGGACAGAAACTAAGTAAATGTATGGAAAGCGTTCTCCTCTCCTCGCTGGAAAGCCTCCCCCCTTGGCTGGCACCTTGTAAGCTGCAGTTTGGTGAGGCCACACCACGGGGGCTCTTACCACCTCTCCTAAGCCTCAGGCTCCTTCAGCCTGTGCAGCAGAACCTCAGAGAGTGCAGCAGAACCTCACGGGGTGCAGCAGAACCTCAGAGAGTGCAGCAGAACCTCACAGGGCACAGCAGAAGCTCACGGAGTGCAGCAGCGACAAGATGACTTTGAACACTCAAGAATTGCCTTCAAAATTCTCACAACACACATGTTTTGACGACTTTTCCCTCTGTGAGGTGCCAATACTCACTGTAACACTTGGAACTAGCAATGCCACCAACCTAATCCACCCCAGAGAAACCTCCTCCCCCAGGTATCTCCCTTTCTTTGGCAGGGGAGGGCAGGGGAAGCACCTGCAAAAGAATTTCCAACCCACGTTCAGACCTTTCTCTGGGTTTTCAAGACTTTGCAGTTCAGAGCTCAGGATCTGGCTACAGCGCGTTATAAACGGGCTGTGGACCCGAACCAGAGAGGGATGAAGGGCACCACACCAGAGGGGTAGTGAAGGTGGATGTGTCTTCTACAGATGCTGTGACAAAGGACATGCACCCAGCAAAGGTTAGACCCACACAAGCTGATTCAGGCATCGAGTCACCTCAGCTTGAGCCCTGAGCTGGTTGAAGATCCCAGCTCACTGCAGGAGGTGGGACCAGATGGCCTTGAAAGGTCCCTTCAACCCAGACCATCCCATGGTTCCATGAAAGTGCTGCCAGTGTGGTAAAGCACCAGGTAGAGCCAGCGAGGGTTGGACACACTCCGGGTGAGGCTGAGGGACCCATGAGCAACCTGGTCTAGTGGAAGG